AACATGGAGAGAAGACAGGGAAAATAAATGTTCCTGATACCATCATCTACAATGGACAGGAGATATCAGGTATATCAAATATTGTAAATGCATTCAACAAGTCTTTCACTAATTTTCCACATAACAAACCAAATTATACTAACATCAAACTTCCACCTCGTAAATACAAAACTTTCTTTTTTCTCCCAGTCACTACTAATGAAATTGAATTACTATTAAAAAAAAGCTTCGCTGAAACCCTGCCCTGGAATTGATGAAATTTGTGGAAAAGTGCTGAGTGCATCTGCTCATGCTCTCAGTGAACCACTGACTTATCTCGTCAATGAATCTTTTTTATGTGGACAATACCCCAGCATACTGAAGTTGTCGAAATCAATACCAATCTATAGAAATAAAGGAACAAAAAATGACACAAAGAACTATAGAAACATCTGTCTGCAAAGTCAACTAGCCGAAGTATTTGATATATGCTGCTATTCCAGACTAGTAGAGTTTCTTGAGTCAAATGATCTGATACAGAACTTCCAACACGGGTTCAGGAGGAAAAAATCTACAACTACTGATATAGCACAACTCACTTCTTCTATCTATGACACATGGAATGAAAAAGAAACTCATATTCAACTCTATTTTGATTCAAGTAGGGCGTTCGACATGGTAGATCATAAACTACTCTTTGATAAACTGGAGTATCTGGGAATTAGAGGAATAGGCAACGACTGGCTGCGCTCCTATCTTGACGGAAGAAGGCAAGCTGTAGTACTGGATAATAATGTATGTGATAAACAATTTGTCACACAGGGGGTACCACAGGGTTCAGTACTTGGCCCACTGTTATTCATAGTGTTTATGAATGACCTGACTCACTCAGTCAGACAAGCAGATTTAGAAATTGTATATGCAGACGACACAAACTTCTGCTTGAGGAACTCAACAGCTCAAGAGTGTTCTGCCAGAGCTGATGTAAGTGCACAGGCATTTTATAATTAATGTCACAATAACGGATTATCTGTTAATGCAGAAAAAACTCACTTTATGATATTCTTACCCAAGAATGGCAGCTTTGATAATACTCTAACAATAACAATAAACCACCAAACAATTCAACAAGCTGAATCGATAAAATTCCTAGGAGTCACAGTGGACCATAAGATGACCTGGAAAGAACATATTAATAATGTGGTAGCCAAACTAAGCAGTATCTGCTTCTTAATGAGGCAATTACGTAACACAGTCAGTTTTGATGTCTTGAAAATGGTATATTTTGCACATGCAGAAAGCATACTATCATATGGTCTCATTTTTTGGGGGTCATCTAGTAATCTGAATGATGCATTTATTATACAGAAAAAAATAATGAGATGCATGATGGGAACGTCACCTACTGCATCCTGTAAAGAATTGTTCAGGAAAACAAGAATCTTAACCCTACCCAGTCTTTACATATTCAAACTAATTATAGATTTCACACAACAAAAACACAATATTCCCAAGAATCGAGACATACACGACTATTATACAAGAAATATGAACAAAATCTATCAACCACTTTCTAGATTGACTATTGGACAGAAATCTCATAAATACCAACAAATAAAATGCTACAACAAATACTTGGAGTTATGCTCGGAACCAAACAAGACGGGTAAATTTAAGACTGAGCTACATTCATTTATCTGTAACGGCGCATTCTATTCTCTGAATGAATACCTGGCGGCATGATTATTGTAACCCATATATTATATGTGTGTATAAGTGTATATATATCGTAGAGTTTTCTATTTATTTTATATTTATATTTGGGATTCGTTTGAATTTTTAGCCTTAGTTTTAAGATTTTGACTAGTCTGATAAGTATATATATGTTCACCAGCAGGCTGAATTGTGTATATGTTTTAATGATGAATAAAGCTACATACTTACTTACTTACTAGACAGAACAGTAGTTTCTTCATATTTCATTATGTGGTCTGTTTCTGCTCCCACATGTTCTGCAATGGGAATGTTCCTCAATTTGGGTTATTACAGCAAATGCAAGTTTGAACAAAATAAAGTTGAGTTTAATTCATGAGTTTTTCAAATTCACTTCGAAAAGTATTCAAATTGATGTTTCAAATGTTGGGTAATAATTTTTAAAGGGATTTGTTTCTAATTCACATATTGGCAACAGCGCCTATATCAAGTTGAAATATTTTATACTTACCTAGATATTCTACTTGAAAAAAGAAAATCATCTTTATACAAATCAACAATTGAGGCAAAATATAAATTATAGTTCAATACTACCTCCACAAGCCACATAAACAACAGTTGTTTTGTTATTTATTTATATAGAGGAAGATAGGTTAGGTGCACAAAATGTCATATGTCACAGAATGTCTCGGAACTCGGAACATAAGTAAACAGAACAGCAAGCCTCTGAAATATGTCATCTTTGCTTGTCTCATACAGATAACAGATTCATTGTCCTTTATTAGCTATAACCGATGTTGCCAAATGGTGAAATAGAAACGAATCCCTTTAAATGTTGAATGCATTATTTCATTCCTCTTTTTTAAGTATTTAAATTATTTTTTAAAGAAAAAGGTTGAAATAATAAGTTCAAAATGCTTTGTTTTAGAGCTCTTTTATGAAAACTACTTGATTTTCGTCAGGAGGAACATTCCCCATTGCGTATTTCTTCGGTCGCATTACGGGGCAGCTACGCTTATGTTCTTGTATTGTGATGCTGATGCGGCGTTAACTGAGCCTAAAGCAACGGATGTCAGAAGCTGTCTTTTGTACTTGGCCAATCTGATAGTGTTGCGTTTTTGTTGAGATACCGATCAATGTGAGTAGGTTAGTGATAAACTGTGTGACCTAATTTTGCATCACTTTTTTATTGAACCAGTACATCTAAAAATGGTATCTTTCCTTCTTTTTCCTTTTCCATGGGCAACTGGATGCGAGGATAAATGAATTTTAAACGGAACACTATTCCTGTTTCAAAATTGCATGTGGGTTTTTTCAGCGCGAAAATAACCTCTCTGATTACGAAATATTGATGATTGTCAGAATTTTTTCCTAGACGCGTGTCGCTTACACTGTAACTTCCTCGGTAGAAATGAGTATTACACACTGTGGGCTATAATTCTTTTGTACATCAATAGTTACCTCACTTAATAAGTTAATAATAAATGACATAATCAATTACAATCTACGAGTAATTGGACAGCAGGTGATTTTTTGAGTATGAATAAATTTATTGCTATTATGAAAATAGTATATTATTCAATGAGCGTATAATGATGGCTATTATTCACGAGATGAAAAATAGCCATTATGCGCGAGTAGAATACTATACTTTATCCACAACTGATACAAGTTTTTGTTGAAGTTTTTTAACACAATTCAACACAAAATATCAAAACACTGAGAAATCTACGCATACAAACAACAATGTTGACAGGTTTAAGTCGAATTTGTTTTGTTTCAAAAGCTATTTTGATGTATAAAATGTTTCGAAAAACATGGTATGTAAAGAAACAGATATGACACGCATATTCAAAGTCGCTGAAAACTCAGTGTAGATGCTCATTGCCTTCTAGGACTGTTCCAGAAAAGTTCACTTTTTCATATGTAGGTACAGAACTGAATTGAAAATATTTGGTGGTTTACACGATAAAATTTTAAAAACCGATTGTTTGTAGCAAAACTATATAATATTATAGTTAAATCAAGGAAGCATCTGACAGCAGTGATTAATGACTCATTTATCACTGCCATGAATAATGGGTATTATTAAGGTCAAGCAAACAGATGTATAATGGGTACATTATGCAATAGTAGTGGATAAAAGGTTCAACCAGCAGGTTCAACTTTTCTACATACTACATAATGTTGAAGTCATGATCGTTCTCCAAAAGGTGATAGCTTGTTTTACAACAATACATAGACAATTACAGTTATTTTTCCAATACATCAACTCTATTCATGGAAATATTGAATCCACAATAGAACTAGCAATCAATAGTTCGATAAACTTTTTAGACCTCACAGTTAAAAAAATTAATAACAAACACGATTTCAGAATTTACCATAAATTAACCCATACATACGCAACTATAAACAACTATTCTAATCACCCACAGCAACATAAATTAGCATCTCACCACAGTATGATCCACAGCCTCATTAACATACCCATATCCACAGATAATTTTGATGTGGAAGTAAATCTGATAAAACAAATTGCAGTAAATAACAACTTCAACTCGAATATAATTCATCATATCTCTGATAAAAAACATACATATATAAAACCTCAGATAAAATGAAAAGACTACTAAATAAACGAAATATTAACATAGCAAATAAGACTGGTAACTCCTTGGGTGACATACAAAGAACAAGTCACACTTAGACAAGAATAACAGATTAGGTGTCTACAAACTAACATGCGGATCATGCCCAAAAGTATATGTAGGAAAGACCTCAAGAAATTCCAAAACATACTACTACTACGACATACTCCATGTAGAAGTTGAGGGTCACAAGTTGAATCTGCTGAAGTGTCTGAAATAAACGTTCCGGTTCTCTGTTGAATGACCAACAGGAGGTTGACTACTCAACATTGAACTTTCTCTCATAATACCAATATTCTAAAATTTACCTGCTGTTCAATATTTGAGATCATAATGGCTTTTCAAATTCTACCTGCTATCTAATTTACCACTAACCAATTAAGTGAGGTAACTACTGTTGTATATAAGAATTGTATCTCGGTGTGTTAGCGAAACACGTCTAGAAATAAAAAATATTTCTGAAAATTGTTGTATTATCATCATGGATAGTATTGATAAATAACACAGTTTTCTTAAAAAAATGGTGATTTATCGATGAAATTTTGAGTTTTTGGGGTATTAATTTTGAAAAATTGTTTTTAGAGCTATCCCAGAAAGTGTTATATTTTTACATAGCAGTAGTGCAATATCTATCCTTATCGAAATTTCAATTTGCAGGTAGTTTGGTGTCATCCTCCTGGCGAAACATAATGGAAGAAATGGACAGCACCGCAAAACTGATCCGCCACAATGCCGACAGCATCGAGAGCAAATCTCTGGACGCGCTGAACACTCTGTACGCGGAAAAAAGAAAGGCCAGGAAGGCGTACCAAGAGGAGCACGCTAGGATTCTGCATCAATTCACACATGTGAGTTTCGGACTTTATTTTTAGTCGATGTATATTTAGATGGGATTTCGATGAAGAAATATGCGCCATGTCCATTTTTATTGTAGTTTGGTATATTTAGAATAGGTTGAAAGTATAGATGCGTGATACACCTCCAATATACGGGGCGTCTGTGTGAAAATAGAATAATTATTTCGAACTTTGGTCTATTGACCTTTTAAGAGAATGAATAATCGTCTAATTTAGTTCTCACATGTTCAACCAAGGAAAGAAAGGTTGATGCAATACAAATCACGAAAATTCTCAGTTATTCCAAAAAATATATTCCGAATTACCTATTGAGAGTTGAAAAATGTGCAAATTTTCACAAATCATTTTCCATTTTCATAAACTACACCTAAGTTTGTGAAGATCAAATCTTTAGGTGTAGTTTGTGAAATTACTATGGATCGTCATCAAGTAACTGCCAAACCAATCAGAAACATTTTCCACGTTTTGGCTTGGTAGGTAACTATTAAAGTAAGACGGCTAAGTAAAAGTCGTCTAATCAGACTTGCCAAATTAATCCACCAATCACAAAGTATATCCATCTAGCCGAGCTTTCAACTTGCTCTAAACGATTTGTTATCAAAGTTATTTTCTATCACGAATAGAATGACTGATGTTTGGTGTTGTCAAATCGATATCGGCTAGCCGGTTTTTATCAATAATAATAATAATATTGACGGTATTGACGAGACACTGGTGTTGTTTTACGCTTCGAGGGATACCGAACCCGTTATGGGGATTGAGATGTGCCGAATTCATTATAACTCAAGCTCATACAAGCTAATGAGACTGATGTAGTTTTTCAGAGCAGTACGAGAAGGAAAAACAGACAAAACATCGATATTTTTCCTTCGACCTTGTTCTGATTATTGAAGTCCTTGGTGGAATGATTCCCTCTCTACTCTCAAATCTCAAGATGATGCCGGCTTGTCGCACTAACGCTAGTTGCACACACCGATTTTGGACGGCCGACTTTGTACTGGTCGTCCAAATTCCAATAGTGAACCACATGTGGGAACGGGACCTTGCACACACGCCGACCGACGAAATCCATCTTGATTTGTGTCAGGTTGAAAATCTCTTCCCGTACCCTTTAAACTGTCTTTCGCCATGGGGGCGAGTGGTTCAAATCTCAAGGTGTTGTTTTGCTAACGACATAGAGGTCAATGACATCTATGCCGCTCTGGCCTTGTGTACCCCTTCCTGACTGGGGTATTGATGAACAAACTGTTCATTTTAACAGACGTCGTGGGGCCTTCACTCAACTGAGCGACGGGGCCTTCTGAATCGAGTGGGGTCGTCTATAGTGTAATCTACAGCTTCCCTAACTAATGGGTTATCATGAGTTTCCGCTGACTCGAAAACTCTCTGATTCCTCAACTGAATGGACTGCTGTATGGTTAACAGCTTCAAATCTCTGCGGATGGCTTCATTCCGCACGAACCATGGAGCATTCACCAGCATCCTAATGATTTTGTTTTGCAATCTCTCCAGAGTGGAGAGNAGTAAAGTCACATTGTTTTGAGACAGTTCGAAATCTGCCACTGCCGCGTCGAGACCGTTGCGAGTTTGAAGTGCCTCGCGGTCTGTAGGTGTCTCCACTAGATGAGCCTTGAAGGCTTCCCAATCCGTGGATGATCTCACGCGATATTCCTGGGGAGGGGGATCATCACCCAGGCACACGCCGACCGGTGATCGTCGCCGGTAAAATACCGGTGAGCAGCCGTCCACTGCCACTGTATCGCCGGCAGTACCGGGAAGTAGTGGCGTATATGATTACTCACCCCACGCTGTGGGGAGTCGTCATTGGTTGATAATGCTAGCGCACCTTCTCGACTGTGTTGGAACCTCGAGGACAGGGCCCGACCAGCTCACCCTCTGTGAAAATAATAATAATAAGATTTTCTTTTCGAATTCCCGACAACTCTGTCAATATGCTTGTTCTGATTATTGGATTCCTCGATGGAATGGTCTCACCTCTCTTACCCAACGGTGTGGAGTAAGTTATCATTGGTTGATGATGCTGGTGCCCCATCCTGACGAGTCGGGGCTTCGGGAACAGGGACAAGCCAGCTTTGGAAATGGGCCGACCAGCGCATTCTTCAAGCAGAATAATTGAAATAATGATAATAATAATCCACTCTTCTCAGGGGACATGATTCTCGGACTCAATGATCACTTACCTCACGGTGTGGGGAGTGAGTCCTCCGAATGTATAGGGGCTTCGGGAGACAGGGTCCGACTAGCTTAATCTTCGAAAAAAAAAATCATTTATTTTATTGTTTTTGTTTTCCCATACATACGTACATAAGTTATAAAATATAATTTGCTTTACTCAAACAAACCAACTATCTATAGAGTTGATCGGCAGCATGTGAAAATCATTTTCAAATATCCGTATACCCAATATTTTCGGAACGCAGGGGATGTCAAGTTAATAAATTTAAAAATGATTCACGCATTTCGAACACGTCTAAATTAATCACTCGTTTGTAGAGCATTAGGTTTGTTCTGGTTTTCAGTTTGTAGTGTATTGAATCGTCCAAAATCAGTGAATCAGTTGTGGACTGAAAAGGTTAACGCTACAAAATGTTCAGTATACAGTTGGGTGACTGTTTTCTGACTGTTAGCAACAGTCCGAGCAGAGAACCAGAACAAACCTATTATATCAAGACGGGCAGCTATTGTAGGTACTCCCAGCTAGCGCTAAGGATCTCGAAAAAATGAAACTCTATGTTATTCTGCACCTAAAATTGATTTTTCAATAAACAGGTTTTTTTGACAGGTATTTCATGAAAAAATTAATTGTAGCAATGATTGCCATTGGCATTGAAGATCATTAATGAAATTAATGTTCTAATTTCGACATGATAGATATGATGATGACCATCACATCATTTCTAAGAAAATGAGTGGGGAAACAAAAAGTATGTAATTTTTTTCGGTGTTATAGCTGTCCTACGTTCATCAACCTCGTGTTCCAAGTAGGTTATGTGAGTAATTCTGCGAGCCATTTAGAAAGCATAATGTCTATGCTTCCTAGATTATGTAAATCAGCAGAATCAAACCTAACCTCAACTGGAAAACCCGAGAAAATTATCTGATCGGAATGTATCGTCTTTTCAGCATTTCATAGTTTTGAATTTATTCTAGAATGGATGAATATATGTGTACTATTGTATCAATTTTTTAATAAGGTACTTGGTAATTCATTCGAGTAAGTCTAGCGAATTTTTATATCACATTCAATGTGTCTTTTTCCTGAGAATAGTACAGCAAACGTGTCATGAGAGGCAGCACTAGTAGTAGGGACAAACATAAACTATTTTCATGTAAAACAGTGTTATTTACATAATATTAAATCATTTTTCAAAAATATAAATCTGATATAAAAAATAATTTTGAGTCAGTATAATGCCAACAAAGCATTGCTGTTTTGCGAATTGTACGTCGGATAATCGATATACGGAATAAAACGTGTTAGGTTAGATGTAAGAAATGGATACATGCTTCGAGGAGAGTGGATTTAACAGTGCAAAAAATAAATGAATATTTATATGTATTATATTTAATTAAATTTATTTCACTACCATCTATATTTGATTCATATTTCTCTAGGGAATAAATCTGAAACTCATATTTATTTCACAGTTTGAATCTACCGCTACTCTTTTACTAGAGTCTCTATACTAACCTGTCTATTAATGCACAATTTTTTTCAGTTACTTTTAAATTACGGCACGCAAGCCAACGTTTTAATGTTACAACCACAACATAATTGCAAATTTTAGTTTTGCTCCAGGAACATCTTCTGTTAAAAACATTCTTTTTTAATTGTACTTTACCATATGTTTATATGAGGATTAAGCAGTGTTTGTCCCTACCGAACTACTAGCGCTGCTAGTGAGTGATTTTTGGTACTTCAGGAAAAAGGCTCATTAATATGAAAAATTGAATAGGATTGCATTCGTCCAAATCAAAATTGAAATCATAATAAATTTGAATGCTGGTAAAGACTTGAAAAATTTTATAACTTTTACCTCTTACATTTTCAAAAATATGATTTTTGATAACGTGTCTGTTTTGTTTACGTTCAACCAACTTTTATATTGATATATTTCTAGGTAAACCTTCATATACGAGGTCTGTTCAAAAAATAAAATGAATGTTTAAATTTCTCCGGCTATGTACATTCGATTAGCGAATTTTAATTTTTTTTATGTTGATGACACTGTTTTCGAACATATGTTCACAGTTTCAGCTGTCAAGCATGTTTTGTTTGTTGATGAGAGTCATAAAAGTTAGAAGTGTTTTGCGTCTTCGGCGATTTTCTGTTATAAGAAATGGATCAGATAATTTGCATAAAATTCAATGTGAAAAGAAGAATTAAATGTCCAAAAACACCTGACAGTGGCATACGGTAATTGTACTCCGAGTCAGAAAAATGTTCACGAATGGTAGAAGCTTGTTGAGAATGTGGGCACATCTGTTGGCTCATGCCATGCAATTTTTTTGTAAATTTCGGGCATGAAGCGTGTGGCAGCGAAATTCGTTGCAAAATTACTGAATTTTTACCAAAAAACCGTCGCATTCACATTGCTCAGGAATTGTTAAATTACGTCATCGGCGATCCAGGTTTGCTCGGAAGGCTGATGAATCATGGGTATATGGTTATGACATCGAAACCAGTCCAATCGTCCCAATGAAAGAGCCCAGGAGAGCCAAGACCAAAAAAAGTATGCCAAGTTCGATTAAATGTCAAGGTTATGCTCACTATTTTCTTTGATTACCATGACGTAGTGCATCAGAGGTTCTTGCCACATGGTCGTATGGTCAATAAGGATATTATCTTGAAGTTATGCGCTGCTTGCGAGAAGCAATGCGAAGACAACATCCGGCTAGAAACATTACCGTAATTATGCTTCAGCGACCGTATTCAACAGTTTTGTCCCCCTGTGACTTTTTTCTGGTTC